AGAGCTGTGTGAGTGGTGCATACCAAACACGCACACATGCACACGCACACACGCACGCGCACACACACACACACACACACACACACACACGCGCGCGCACACACACACACACTCAAGCTGACAGATCCACAATCAGTTCTAAAATCCTCCAATACCTGCTCTGACTATGATGTCTTAATGCACACACACACACACACACACACACACGCACGCGCACACACACACACACACACACACACACACGCACGCGCACACACACACACACACACACACACACACACACACACACGCGCGCACACACACACACACTCAAGCTGACAGATCCACAATCAGTTCTAAAATCCTCCAATACCTGCTCTGACTATGATGTCTTAATGCACACACACACACACACACGCGCGCACACACACACACACACACACTCAAGCTGACAGATGCACAATCAGTTCCAAAATCCTCCAATACTTGCTCTGACTATGATGTCTTAATGCACACACACACACACACACATGCACACACATAGACACACACACACACACACAAGCTGACAGATCCACAATCAGTTCTAAAATCCTCCAATACCTGCTCTGACTATGATGTCTTTATGCACACACACACACACACATGCACACACATAGACACACACACACACACACACACACACACACAAGCTGACAGATCCACAATCAGTTCTAAAATCCTCCAATACCTGCTCTAACTGTGATGTCTTTATGCATTCACACACACACACATGCACGCACACACACACATGCATGCATACACACACACCTGTTCCCCTCCTACCTGCAGATCGTGTTTGTCTTCACTCCTCGCCTGTCTCTCAAAGTTACTCGCGCACATTTCTCACCCTCTCATATGATTCATTCCAGTGTTTAAACCCGCACCACACTGAGTTTAGTTGGAGATTATTGTGCCATTTTTCAATTTTAAAATATGGTAATAACAGCTATAATGCAAAGCACCTGTTTCACCCCATAGAGGCCAAACATTAGCCTTAGTTTAAATGAATGCTTCTCAATTATTACCTATTCAGGTCTTTAGCGACCCGGATCTTCATAACACGGATGGATCTCTAACTGCCCCAGTGGTAGGCTATAAAACTCTCCTGGTATTTTAATAACAACTACAAAAGGATAAAATAAAGCACATTTCACTATCTTTTTGATCTTCAAAGGGTTTGATTTGAGCATATTGGCTCATATTCGCAATCTCAACCACATTTGATCATTTTCAACCAATTTTCAATCAATATTTTAATTGCTAACAGCTTCTTCACCCGATCCGCCATCAAGTGACACCAAACGTTACATAGTTTTATCGTCTAAAGATGCAGTAAATGTTAATAAAGTGCCGCGTCCTTTATGTGTGTAATGCGCCAGTCGTGGTGCTTCTGAAGAATTGATTCTTCCAAGGGAATCGAGAGTTGACTCAGTTGAATCGATTCTACAAGACAGGTTCCTTGATGAGGAAACTTCTTCATATCCAAGAGTAGTCATAACTATCTATGGAAGCTTGTTTCCGCCACTGAATAAAAAAAATAATTGCAACTTTTTATCTCACAATTGCGAGATATGAAGTCAGAATTGTGAGAAATAAAGACTAACTTTTTTCCCCTCAGAATAGTTTATATCTCACAATTCTGACTTTACAACTCGCAATTGCAACTTTATTTCACGCAATTCTGACTTTATATCAATAAATTCTGATTTTATATCACGCAATTATGACTTTATAACACGCAATTGCGACTTTATTTCACGCAATTCTGACTTTATATCTCGCAATTCTGACTGTATAACACGCAATTGCGACTTTATTTCACGCAATTCTGACTTTATATCTCACAATTCTGACTTTACAACTCGCAATTGCAACTTTATTTCACGCAATTCTGACTTTATATCAATAAATTCTGATTTTATATCACGCAATTCTGACTTTATAACACGCAATTGCGACTTTATTTCACGCAATTCTGACTTTATATCTCGCAATTCTGACTGTATAACACGCAATTGCGACTTTATTTCACGCAATTCTGACTTTATATCAATAAATTCTGATTTTATATCACGCAAATTCTGACTTTATAACACGCAATTGCGACTATTTCACGCAATTCTGACGTTATATCTCGCAATTCTGACTTTATTGCAATTGCTATCTCGCAATTGCGACTTTATATCAATCAATTCTGACTTTATATCTCGCAATTCTGACTTTATAACACGCAATTGCGACTTTATATCAATAAATTCTGACTTTATATCACGCAATACTGACTTTATTGCAATTGCTATCTCGCAATTCTGACTTTATAACACGCAATTGCGACTTTATTTCACGCAATTCTGACTTTATAACACGCAATTGCGACTTTATAGCAATCAATTCTGACTTTATATCTCGCAATTGTGACTTTATATCACGCAATTCTGACTTTATTGCAATTGCTATCTTGCAATTCTGACTTTACAAA